AGAGCATCAAGCCTCCACAGAAGGTGTCTTGTCGAGTACGCCACGGACCTGGTCGACGGGCTTGGCAAGCGGAGCGAACTTGGCCACAGAAATCATGAACAAACATCAAGGCTTCAGCAACCCCACGGTCAGGCACATATGCGAATATCGGATATTGCAGCAAATGCGGATTCATATAGAATTTGGCCAGATCGATGTAGGCGCCCAGCACAGCCTTGCCCAGACAACACGTCAGGGCGATCGGCCGGAGGCCGGATGGACTCATCACTGTGCGCTTGGCAAGAAGAGTCAGAAAGGCATCACGCCACAGTTGAGGGACAACACAATGAGTGCCCCACTGCATGGTCAAGTAGGTATGGGGCCAGGATGCAAGCTCCGGTGCTAAGCGCTTGGCCACAAGACCAGGCAACGTACCTGGGGCAACTGCTTTCAGAGGCTTCGTCTTGCGAAGTTGATGATACAGGTCATTTGCAGACGGAATCCAGGGTGAGCACGTTGGAGTCAACACTGGATCAGTAGGGACATCAAAAATCTTCGTGAAGTGAACCTGTAGGCGCGTGAGCTCTTGCTGGGGGTCTTGAAGAAGGCCTTGAGCATCACGAAAGCGAATGGCCCGACGGGCCTGCTTCGGGGTCAGTTGCCTGACCGCTTCATAGAGAGCCCGAGTGTCATGGGCTGCAGCAGCCCTGGCGGCCGCAGATGTGATTTGCCGAATCCGGTCCAGCTTGTTGCGTTTACAATGATGACACAGTTGCTTGTGCAATTGTCGGAACCTCATCCAGTGGTACCAGGCCCTCAAGGTCGTCAGACCAAGGTTGGGGTGCTTCTTTCGGGCCCAGTCAAGATGCTTCCATTTCCTGGACACCAAAGACATGGATGTGGAATCAGCCCAAAGTGGCGGTGCAGCTAACGATCGTTGCACTACCATGTAGCTTCGCTGAACTAGAGTGTCAACCAATCGTTCCGGTGTACATGGAGAAGTGGTCTGAATGCATCGTGCAGCCTGCTCCAGAAAGTCATACCACCTGGGATCATCGCGACCCATGGCCTGGTGCAGGCGTTTGGTGTGAGCTGACTTGGATTGTCCACCAGTGGTCGGCCCTCGCTGTCCCCGGTACCACGCCTTCCAGTCAACAGGAAAACTGCACAGTAGAGGACGATGGTCAGGGAAGTCACGATCCTGGATCAACGGAAACTGGTCGAGGCACAGGGCTCCACTTGCTTTGCAGTCACTCTGAATCTTCCTCATGAAGAGGTAATCGATGGTGGAGGACCCTTGAGGACCCACAAAGCTGGGGATGGCCTGTCGGCTTCTCAAGTTGATCAACCCAAAATCATGCAGTAGGTTTCGAAGACACAAAACATCAGGCTCCACAGTGGCTCGTTTGGTCGACAGGGAGGCGTTGAAATCTCCGCCTAACAGCAGGGTGTTTCGGACCGGCAGGGATTGGAGAACTTTGTATAGGAGGTCCCAAAGATTGGCTCTGGCCTTCATGGGTTCAGTACGATGATGAGTCACACCGGTGGTGCATTGGTAGAAGTTGATCAGGTCGACCGTGCCAGTTGGTAGGCAGCAACGGACATGCAACAGGCGTCCATGGGCCCAGTCCTGATAACTCAGTGCATCCATGTGGCAAACTGTAGTACGAACAATTGTAAGAAGACCGCCTCCTCCCCGTCCCAGTGAGGGAGAGGGGATGAGATGAAAACCATGTGAGGTCCAAGGCTCATGCAACGTCCATCCGGTACTCTGGATTAGGGCGAAGCTGATTTGTTGGTGATGCAACCATTGGAGCAACTCAACATAGGAGGTGGTTGTGAGGGATTGTGCATTCCAACAAAAGACCACTGCTCTCTGTCTCCGAGACTCCGGTGCTCGTGCAGGGTGGCGGATCGGAGCAGGACCGGGAGAAGTCGTCAGGCCAGCAGCACCAGTCCACAACCGGCCTTTATAGACCGCAAAACCTTCTTTGGCCAGCCTCCGCTGGCAGCGTTGATAACTTCGTTTGTGAATTCGCGTCCCGTGGGACTCTACACGCCCTACGCCCCTACGTTCAGGGGGAACCAAAACTGGAGAAGGAAAAAGCCATTCCCTTTCAGGATGATGTGGGGCCATCATCCAACCCTCACCTCTAGCCCTGAACAAAAAAGGACAAGTTCGCTCAAAACAATCAGGGCTCTCGGACTTGGGACCGAGCACACCGCAGGCCGTCCACCACGCTCCAATGGCCAATGCAGAGCAGCTTCCAAAGAGCCACAGGAACAAGATGGCTAGGAGTCGTCGTGGGCCGTCACAAGCATGTCCGCTGCTGGACGGCTTGGGTGATAGATAGATAGATAGATAGATACATAAATAGATAGATAGATAGATAGACAAATAGACAAATGGAAAGAACAGTGCGGAAAGAAGCTATGTTGAAAGCTGGGTGAGGTTGAAGGCGCCCTCAGCATCCACCATTGCGGGGTTTTGCAGGTCATGTGTCATTAGACACGTTCATATTAACGCGAAAGATAAACAGCTAAGCCTTGAAAGCCTGAACAATAAACATTATATATTGTGCTATGATCATACATATGATTATATATAACTTCCTTCGTTTTTCGCCATTGTAGTTGTGACGAGAGCCAAAAGCCAAACGCCGCAGAATCCAGAAGGCACGAAAGCCACAAAAGCCACACAGAATCCAGAAGCCACGAAAGCCACGAAAGCCATGAAAGCCAAAAGCCACAGAAGCCGCAAAAGCCACGAAAGTCAAAAGCCACACCGAAGCCGGAAGCCACAAAAGTCACGTAAGCCCAAAAACCACAGAAGCCAGGAGCCACGAAAGCCAAAAGCCACGGAAGCCAGAAGCCACGAAAAACAAAAACAACTCCTTGTTTTAAGCAAAACAATACTAAAATAAATGGCCCTCCGTAAAACTTCCCTACGCTCTAGGACCTAGGACGCGCTGGGAGGGAATATGTACTTATCATACATGCAGCAGCAGTAGACTAATCCTGAAATGCACCCAACTTATGAAAGCAACATGAGACCACTAAGACTAAGTGACAATGACATAGCTGGTCAACTGACCACATAGAATCTAGAACTGGTGACACCATTGACCAACACATATGTCATCAAAACCGGCCGCAACCTATCCCAGCTTCTTTGCGCGCACTGGGCTTTGAGGGATGCGGGCTCCAGGGTGGCGCGCGCAGGTCTTTCTATGCCTGTTCGGGCAGCCCGGTGGTGCGCGCTTGGCTTTTATGGGCGCGGGCTGCAGGGTGGTGCACGCTGGGCTTTTGCAAGTGCGGGCAAAAGAATGGTGCAAGCTGGGTTTTTGCCAGATCACATACCAAGGCAGAGCATCAGGCAGAAAATAGGTCAGAATACATGCAGGAACAAGCGCAATGCCAGAACTAAATGTCAGAATACGCGACGGAACAGGTCAAAGCACATGCAGGTCAGGACAAATGTCAGAAGACATGTCGAACACGTATCAGTACATATCGGAACCGAAGGCAGACCATATGTCACAGCTCAGAACACATTCCAAAACATGTTCCATCCTTATGTCAAATGCTTGTGCCAGAACACAAACCAGAATTGATGCCGCAACAAATGTCAGGACATGGTGTCAGTGTGCATGTCTGTCAGGCTACGCTTGTCACGATAGTCTGTCAATACATGCGCCCTGTCTTCTTCCAAAATCACCTCTTAGGGTGGGGATCCCTCGAAGCAAAATAATTTTGCTGGCAAAAGAGCGCGCGCCAGCAGGAAAAGAAATGCGACCCTATTTCAACCAGAAGAGAAAAGCAAAAGAATAGAAGGGCAATCCTTGCTGGTAGTCCCGCTGAAGCGGAATAGACCGACCGTCCGCAAACCTGAGAATGGTCTACACAAGTCCCAGCTCGACGGGCCCAACGGGGCAAATGGGCGAACCAATTTTGGAAACGATGTCCAGAATATGGAGCGACAATATAATTGTAGGATTCGTTTTCAAAATGGTCAACCACAAATCAATCTTGAAGACGAACAAATGCCCTTCAAAGCTGCATCAGTCCCAGGCATCTGGAACTGTTACTGTTACAGCTTAACCGCCTCGAGCTGTCCTTGACTTTGTGCTAATTTCAAGGCAGTATGACATACATTCGCGCTTTCCGCTGTGGTTCATACAGGCCAAAAGCTTCCCAAATCCAAAAACCACTGACAAGTGTGCTATTAGGGGAAACCATGCCGATCACAGTTCTCCGTTTGCTCCATGTGCTTTGGGGACGGGTAGCCACACATAGTGGTTAGGCGGCCTAAACGATACTTATCCAATCTCGTCCACCATGTTCGTCCACCCTTGCCAATCAATCGGCAAGGTTTCTCTCCGTCGCAAAAACGTCACAGCCCCTTTTGGTTTTCGCGGAGGCTGGGGCAGTTCTGGGAAGGTCTTTCTGGTTGCTTGCGAGGCGCGTTTCTGGAGACCTCCAACGGCTTTGAGCGGGGGTGCCTCAAAAGGGAGGGTGCGGTTCGGTGTCAGAGGTTCTGGAGCAGGTTTGTACTTGTGGGTAATTATTCGAGAAGGTGCGGAAACTTTTGAAACTCACCGTCATCGTGTTGCCATGTTGCGCTCAAGGAAGGTGTCAACAATTAAAGATTAATATACCTTCTTGGTGTAACAACACCGTCTGAGCAACCTGATGCAACATGTATCATACCGCACAGAATATGTTCTTCCTCGTAGACAACGTGTCGTGTAATTCAGTGCAAAGTCTCGCGTGCCAAAGAATTCAAAGTCAAAGCTGCCTGTTTCTCCTCCGCAAAAGGTGTGCATCAGGGCATATCAGGGCAACGTAGTTACAAAAAACAGTGAAAGGCCAGGTAAAACCATGGGCACATCTGCACTTGTAACAGGCCACAGTGGCAAAGCCTTACTTTTTCATTGTGTCATTCGTTCAATGTAACAAGCAACAAGCCAAAGCTGCAAATCTACTGACTTGGTGGTGGTTGGTGAACTTGCTGATTACATGCATCCGTGCGTGTCTTACATTATCCTCGAATGATGATGCTTCTTTCAAGGTACATGTCTGGTGCAAGATGTGGGGCCGTTCAATTTCAAGCTTCAATGAGATTTGCGGAGAACCGCCTTTCCACCGGTACCTCTGAGGTGACTGGTTGACAAGTCGCACAGTTGACAGCGAAAGGTTTTGCTGTGAGAGGGCGCTGTCTTTTCATGCTGCCTACTGCTTTGTTCCGTTCAAAGTGAGGTGTGATTCTCAATCCTGCACTTGCGCGCCTCCCACTCCAACAAACAGGACCCTAAACTGGAAGCACGTGCCTCTGGCCACGGGCGCAGCCGCAATGCGAGCTGTTGCCATTGCTAACATCTTGTAATTCCTGAGGCCCCAAGAGGACTCATCCAGTGTCACAGGCTGTCACAGGTGAACAAACTGAATGCTCGCTGCAAACTTTGCCAATGGGTCATTCATTCTTCCTTGCAACACAGGTCGCTAATGAGATTGAATAGGATTGTGAATTTTGAACGTCCTTCTTTGATTGCTGGAGACTCCTATATTGAAGCCCAGCATCATGTAGCGCTTCTTGGAGTACTCGCTGTTTGGCAGAGCAGCCAAAGTTGCTATGCCATCAACCACGCCATTCGCCGTATTGGACAACCTTGCGTAAAATTTTGCCCGACACGAGCAATGATCGTAGAACAAAAGAACTCTGAGGTTGTCGTCTGTTGCGTGTGCGCAGCACTGCGTCACGGGTGGAGGGTGCAAAACGATTTCGCAGGCAGCGGCGCTGGTCGGTGCGGAGTGCTTTGTTCAGGTGCTTTGTTGTTCGTGGTTGGTATTGCACTTCCATTGAAAAACAAATAAAAATATTGGAGGATTCAGAATGCACTGTCAGGGGGTGAAGGCTTGCCAGAAGGCTTGCTCGGATCAACGAATTGCACTTCACCGCACTACGATTCACCACACAAATTCCCAATTCACCGCATCTGTGCACTTCAATCATCACCTGGTGCCATTCCGCCACGCGCCAGGTCACATCAGGCATCTTTCCGCTCCACATCAACACAACATAACTTTTACGCATCGCAACATCCCGTCTTCAGTTTCCCCTTGAAATGCGATCTACCTGGTATTCGGCCGAGCGTCATAAAGAGGCATGTGTCGGCCAAATAGAGGAACACTCTTGGCCAAACATTAAATAGGAAGACTGTGGCTGCAGCGCCACCAATTGCACTGAGCCACATGATGTATAAGCCTGAGACGGGCAAACTCCCTGGCTGCCATGCCTGACATGTCAAACCTGTATGTACTCGTTCGATAGTTTGGCTAAAACATGCCAAAACAAGTTCAGAGGCATAGCCGCTTGAACATGACGAAACTAGTACATAATTGGAGCAGTAGAACTCCCCTGAGCTTGTCTGAATAGCACTAATATTTGACAAGTATTATCAACTTTTATTAAACACTGCAAGTTGAGCGGCGGGTCGGGATATAAGAGGGAGTACAACCGACCAGGAGATTGAGAAGTACAGCCCCTACGGTGATGAGCCCGAATATGTATCCAGTTGTAATGGGCGTCATGCCAAACTCTCTCTGAGAAATCATTGTGGTCGCCACCTCAATGGCTGAAACAGAGAAGGACCTTTCAAAGTTGAAAGCTACGGCATACCAGAATAGTGCCTTCCTCTCTTCATCGTCCAACTTGCTTAATGTCGGCGGTTTCTGAGACTTCGTGTCCAAAGCACAATCTTTGCAGTCCTTAAAGGCACAAACAAAACTGGTCACTCCTTTGACCGAAAAAGCGAAAACAAGAGTGTAGAAAGAGTTGAAAGAAACTAACACTGGGATAAACACCCCACACCCACGCACCAATATGGTTAATTCTGAGCATCATTTGCTTCTTTGCTCTCCAAGTTGGTGGCTTCAGGGCGTTCAGTCTCTGGAGCCAGAACTTCTTCTTGCTCTTTTGAGTGGTTTGGTTGCTGTTTGTTCTTTTTCCTCTCTGTCTCTTCCTCATCCCCACCAGCTTCTGCACCTCCTCTTGAAAGCTCCCTGGGCACGAAGCAAGCGTTGACGAAGAAGATCAACAAAACCATAAGCACCAAACCCATCACAGGCACTGCGCCCAGGCGTCGGGTATTCAGCTCGCTTGTTGTCAACGCACCCGCTGTCGACAAAGCTATAGAAGACCCTGCTACACCAATGCAAAGACCCAAATTCCGGCAAGCTTGGCTTGCGGTTTGCAAATTCATCACTTCTGATTCTGGTGACATGTGCAAAGCCACGAGACTGGCTGCCAGGTTGGTGAGCGCCCCGAAGAATCCTGAGAGAGCCCGAAATATCAACAAGCAGGTCCATGTTATCCACAAGTCATTCATTGTCAAAACCACGAAGACATACGCAGTATGCGCTGCTGCTTGCCCAAATAATGTAACTGCAGTACTGCGACGAACCCTCTCGCATGATGTATCTGCCTAAAGTGGGGTTGATTCTGCTTGACCTCTTTGTAGACCCTTCCAGCAAAGCTAAATTAAAAGTTGATTCAAAAACAAAGGTCTTAGCAAACTGAACGCAATAGATCTATTTTACTTACCAGCCCGACAGCTTATCTTTCTCCTTTTCTTCTGGTTTCGATTGTCTTTCTTCATCTCTTTCTGCCTCGTCGGGAATGATCCAATACGCAAGCGATTGACCTGTTAAGCCTCCGATGGCTGAGGCACTGATTAAAAGACCTGAAGCAGCTGCGGACAAGCCCAAGCTTGCAGTGTAGGGCAATGACACTGTCAAAAGAATGGTGAGTCCGGCACTGTTCAGCACTGAACTTCCTAAATACACCACTTGAGCTGAACGCCGACCACCTGCGCAGCAGCAAGCGTGTGCAGCGCCAGAAACATCAATCAACCAAGTCAATGCCAAAACTGAACCGACTAATCCAGCAAACTGTACTCCGAGTGGATCGGCATCTCCACAGTGACTTTGGATTGTTTGGATCGTCTGGTTGATCTGCGACGTCAGAGACGTGCCAAGTTGTAGAAAAATCAGGTCGTCATGGAGATCACATCGGTCTTGTGCCGACATCGCTCGACCGAAGGTTTGTCAATCGAGCAGCACTGAAGCCAAATTCAAACGATGAACAATAGTATTCAGAGCATTTCAATCGCCAAAAACTACGACGCCATCCTGTCTGGTTGTTACATGTGGTGCATCCAAATGCTGCATTCTGCAGCTCTTTTTGCCTCATATGCTCGGATCGCCAAAACCTATCAGTGCTTGGCACAAGATAAGCTGGTTTCGCACGTCGATCACCCATACCTAACTGAAGAATGCGCGAGGAGCCACCGCAATGGCACCGGGTCGACGTTGAGGTTCATGTCGACACCTGAAAATGCCAAAAGGCATCAAAAACTAGAATGCAATTGGGGAAACTGAGAATGGAAAGCTAACTGACCAAAGTTGCCACCGACAAACTGCCCCGAAACTTTTCGCATCCATTTGCCCGGCCTGTCCGGTAAACATCTTGCAACATGCTTCCCCAAGGCATTCGAAGACCCTGATAGCGCCTTCTTGCCTCCAACCAGCGTAGAACAAGGGAAATTGTTAAAAACAAGATGGAGCCCACGAACCCGAATGCAAGCACGTTCGAAAAGCTACATATGTCCAAATGACACTCTTGTAGCACACTCTTGTGGGTCACTCTGGTGGGACGCTCTTGTAGGAAACTCTTGTGGGACACTCTTGTAGGACACTCTTGTGGGACACCCTTGTGGGGCACTCTGGTGGGACACTCTTGTAGGAAACTCTTGTGGGACGCTCTTTTGGGACACTCTTGTAGGACACTCTTGTGGGACACTCTTGTGGGACACTCTGGTGAGACACTCTTGTAGGAAACTCTTGTGGGACACTCTTGTGGGACACTCTGGTGGGATACTCTTGTAGGAAACTCTTGTGAGACACTCTTGTAGGAAACTCTTGTGGGACACTCTTGTAGGACACTCTTGTGGGAGACTCTTATGGGACACTTGCGGGACATTCTTGTGGGACACTCTTGTGGGACACTCTTGTGGGACACTCTTGCGGGACATTCTTATGGGACACTCTTGTGGGACACTCTTGTAGGACACTCTTGTGGGACACTCTTTTGGGACACTCTGGTGGGATACTCTTGTAGGAAACTCTTGTGGGACACTCTTGTAGGACACTCTTGTGGGACACTCTTATGGGACACTCTTGCGGGACATTCTTATGGGACGCTCTCGTGGGACACTCTTGTGGGA